ATACCATCAGTAGGCCTGGGCTCTGGGTCGTTCTTCGTGCTTTTGGAGTACCTGACCCTCTGCTCACGATCATTAAGGACCTTCATGATGGTGAGCGGGCCCGGGTAAAACTACGTGGCCGGGAGTCAGAGCCATTCCCTGTACACCTTGGGGTGCGACAGGGATGTCCTTTGGCTCCCACATTATTTAACATCTATTTTGACCACGTAGTTCGTGAAGCCTTCAATAGCTGTACCGGGGGAATCTCCATATGGTACAGATATAATGGGAGGCTAATCGATGCCCGGGTGCGGTCAAGGGATGGCTCCCTATTGCTCAACCACGTTATGTATGCTGATGACTTGGTAATAGCTGCTCAGTCAGAGGAGGAGTTGGAGACGCTGCTGCTGAGACTGGAGCATGCCACTAAGAGGTGGGGCCTTACCATCAGCCCCACCAAAACTAAGCACCTGCCTGGGTATTTTGTACCATCGGACACTCCACCCCCACAACTCCCAATCGGTGATGGGGCAGTTGTGGAGAGAGTGGAGAGTTTCCCATACCTGGGCAGTGTGCTTATGACTGGCTCCAGTTTAACAGCAGAGGTCTCACTCCGAATCAGTCGAGCGGCAATATCTTTTCATCGGTTGCGTAACGCTGTGTGGAAGCTACCTGGTCTGTCGCTCCGCACTAAGCTTCAGGTCTTCTCGGCCACGGTCATTCCCTCCCTTCTCTATGCTTGCGAAACGTGGACCCCCCTAATGGAACATCTTCGCCGGTTAGAAACATTTAGGCTGGCCTGCCTACGATCCATCCTGGGTTTAACCAGACTGGATTGTGTGAGGAGCTCACAAATCCTTGAAAGATCTGGGCAGGGTCCCATCGGTGAGCTCCTCCGGCAGGCAAGGCTGCGATGGCTGGGTCATGTAGCCCGCATGCCCAGCCACCGCATGCCGAAACAGCTTTTGTTTGGCCGGATTGAGGGGGCTAAGCGGGCGCGGCACGGGCTAGAGAAGAGATGGAGTGATGTGGTACAGGAGGACGTGGAGCTGAGTGGACTTGCCGATGACTGGTACCAGCGGTGTCAAGATCGGCCTCTGTGGAGGAGGCTCGTGAAGGATGCTACTGGGCAGTTGGAGGCAGTCGCCCTCCAACAACAACGGAGGGCGGAGGAGCGACGCTCACAACAGCGAGCGGAGCGCCGGGTGGCTAAAGCACAGCAGGTTGGCACAGTAGGGGGCACAGGTGGTGCATCAGCCAGTCATCTCAGTCAGTCGACCCGTGGCACCTGGGTCTGCCCCGTGACCTCCTGCCAGCGGGCGTTCGACACTTCACGTGGCCTCAGGGTGCACATAGCCTGGCACAAGCGTCGTGGTGACGTCACCGCCACTTAGTGGCGAATGGCGGTTGTTGTTGTTGTTGTGTGTGTGTAGGTGTGTGTAGGTGTAGGTGTGTGTAGGTGTAGGTGTGTGTAGGTGTGTGTGTACAGGTGTGTGTACAGGTGTGTGTGGGTGTGTAGGTGTGTGTGTGTAGGTGTGTGTACAGGTGTGTGTGTGTAGGTGTGTGTGTAGGTGGGGAGCGATAGTGTAGCGGTTAGCGCGCTGCGCTATGAACCTGGCGACTCGGGTTCGATTCCCGCTCACGGCCAACACCGGTGATGATTATCTGAACAGGTCCCGGGCCTCCCCTAGGTCGACTCAGCCTCAAATTAGTACCTGGTGCTGTGTGTAAACATCGCCACTGGGGAGACAAAGGCGGTCGGGCGTGGTGCTGGCCACCCACCCCCGTGTACCGTTCCGGCCTTCATAGGTGCTCGCTAACAGCACTTGCCCCTACAGTCTGGTAAGGCTATATGGGGGATCTTTGTCTTTATCTTTGTGTACAGGTGGTGACTGGCTCCAGTTTAACAGCAGAGGTTTCACTCCGAATCAGTCGAGCGGCAATATATTTTCATCGGTTGCGTAACGCTGTGTGGAAGCTACCTGGTCTGTCGCTCCGCACTAAGCTTCAGGTCTTCTCGGCCACGGTCATTCCCTCCCTTCTCTACGCTTGCGAAACGTGGACCCCCCCCTAATGGAACATCCTCGCCTGTTAGAAACATTTAGGCTGGCCTGCCTACGATCCATCCTGGGTTTAACCAATCTTGAAAGATCTGGGCAAGGTCCCATCGGTGAGCTCCTCCGGCAGGCAAGGCTGCGATGGCTGGGTCATGTAGCCCGCATGCCCAGCCACCGCATGCCGAAACAGCTTTTGTTTGGCCGGATCGAGGCGGCTAAACGGGCGCGGCACGGGCTAGAGAAGAGATGGAGTGATGTGGTACAGAAAGACGTGGAGCTGAGTGGACTTGCCGATGACTGGTACCAGCGGTGTCAAGATCAGCCTCTGTGGAGGAGGCTCGTGAAGGATGCTACTGGGCAGTTGGAGGCAGTCGCCCTCCAACAACAACGGAGGGCGGAGGAGCGACGCTCACAACAACGAGCGGAGCGCCGGGTGGCTAAAGCACAGCAGGTTGGCACAGTAGGGGGCACAGGTGGCGCATCAGCCAGTCATCTCAGTCAGTCGACCCGTGGCACCTGCTGGGTCAGCCCCGTGACCTCCTGCCAGCGGGCGTTCGAAACTCCACGTGGCCTCAAGGTGCACATGGCCTGGCACAAGCGTCGTGGTGACGTCACCGCCACTTAGTGGCGAATGGCGGTTGTTGTTAACTTGTTATAGGTGTGTGTACAGGTGTGTATAGGTGTGTGTATAGGTGTGTGTACAGGTGTGTGTATGTATAGGTGTGTGTGTAGGTGTGTGTGTACAGGTGTGTGTACAGGTGTGTGTGTACAGGTGTGTATAGGTGTGTGTACAGGTGTGTATAGGTGTGTGTACAAGTGTGTGTGTACAGGTGTGTACAGGTGTGTGTGTACAGGTGTGTGTACAGGTGTGTGTGTACAGGTGTATGTGTACAGGTGTGTGTACAGGTGTGTGTACAGGTGTGTGTGTATAGGTGTGTGAGTGTGTGTGTGTGAGTACAGGTGTGTATAGGTGTGTGTACAGGTGTGTATAGGTGTGTGTACAAGTGTGTGTGTACAGGTGTGTGTACAGGTGTGTGTGTGTGTACAGGTGTGTGTGTATAGGTGTGTGTGTGTACAGGTGTGTGTACAGGTGTGTGTGTGTACAGGTGTGTGTACAGGTGTGTGTGTGTATAGGTGTGTGAGTGTAGGTGTGGAGTGTGTGTGTGAGTACAGGTGTGTATAGGTGTGTGTACAGGTGTGTGTGTACAGGTGTGTGTGTACAGGTGTGTGTGTATAGGTGTGTGTGTGTAGGTGTGTGTGTGTAGGTGTGATGGGGGGAGCGGTAGTGTAGCGGTTAGCGCTACACTGCGCTATGAACCTGGCGACCCGGGTTCGATTCCCGCTCACGGCCAACACCGCCAGTGACGGCGACTATCTGAACCGATCCTGGGCCTCCCCTAGGTCGACTCAGCCTCAAATGAGTACCTGGTGTAGCGGTGTGTAGTAAACATCGCCACTGGGGAGACAAAGGCGGTCGGGCGTGGTGCTGGCCACCCACCCCCTCGTGTAACGTGCCGGCCTTCATAGGTGCTCGCTAACAGTACTTGCCCCTACAGTCTGTTACAGGCTACACGGGGGATCTTTGTCTGTGTGTGTGGTGTGTGTAGTACATAGACACTGCTGCTGCTACTCGCTAGCTAGCAGCACTTGCCCCTACATTCCTGCTAGAAGCTACCTGGGGGAGCTTTGTCTGTGTGTGGTGTGTGTAGTACATAGACACTGCTGCTGCTGCTACTCGCTAGCTAACAGCACTTGCCCCTACAGCCCTGCTAGAGGCTACCTGGGGTAGCTTTGTCTGTGTGTGGTGTGTGTAGTACATAGACACTGCTGCTGATACTCGCTAGCTAACAGCACTTGCCCCTACAGCCCTGCTAGAGGCTACCTGGGGGAGCTTTGTCTGTGTGTGGTGTGTGTAGTACATAGACACTGCTACTGCTACTCGCTAGCTAACAGCACTTGCCCCTACAGCCCTGCTAGAGGCTACCTGGGGGAGCTTTGTCTGTGTGTGGTGTCTGTAGTACATAGACACTGCTGCTGCTACTCGCTAGCTAACAGCACTTGCCCCTACAGTTCTGCTAGAGGCTACCTGGGGGAGCTTTGTCTGTGTGTGTGTTTCCTGTGTCACTGTACCCCTGGAGATGTGTGTGTGTGCTGTGTGTATGTTGTGTTCGTTGTGTGCGCTGTGTGTGTGTGCGCTGTGTGTGTGCTGTGTGTGTGCTGTGTGTGTGTGTGGTGTGTGTGTGCATGTGTGGTGTATGTGTGGTGTATGTGTGTGTCTGTGTATGTGTGTGTGTATGTCTGTGTATGTGTGTGTGTGTCTGTGTGTGTGTGTGGTGTGTGTGTGTATGTGTCTGTGTATGTGTGTATGTGTGTGTGTATGTGTGTGTGTGTAGTGTATGTGTGTATGTGTGTGTATGTGTGTGTGTGTATGTGTGTGTGTGTAGTGTATGTGTGTATGTATGTGTCTGTGTGTGTGGTGTATGTGTGTCTGTGTGTATGTGTGTGTATGTATGTGTGTATGTGTGTCTGTGTGTGTGTCTGTGTGTGTATGTGTGTGTGTCTGTGTGTATGTATGTGTGTATATGGTGTGTATGTATGTATATGTGTATGTATGTGTGTCTGTGTGTGTGTATGTGTGTGTATGTGTGTGTGTATGTGTATATGTGTGGTGTATGTGTGTATGTATGTGTGTCTGTCTGTGTGTCTGTGTGTGGTGTATGTGTGTATGTATGTGTGTATGTGTGTATGTATGTGTGTATGTGTGTATGTATGTGTGTATGTGTGTATGTATGTGTGTATGTGTGGTGTATGTATGTGTGTATATGGTGTGTATGTATGTGTGTATGTCTGTGTGTGTCTGTGTGTGTGTATATGGTGTGTGTGTATGTGTGTGTATGTCTGTGTGTGTCTGTGTGTGTCTGTGTGTCTGTGTGTGTATGTGTGTCTGTGTGTGTGGCTACTCACTGCAATAGCCGCGGCAGCGGCAGCAGCAGCAGCAGCGTCGTCGTCGCTGTGGAGCGGCGTAAGAGCGGCAGGAAACCCCTGGGTCACGACCACAGCGACTGTGGCGGTGTGTGGCCCGTGTTGGAGGGCTCGCCCACCCAACACACAGCGCGTCGCACCGACACGCCCACACGGCGCGTCACACACTAACACACGCCCACCCATAGCGCGTCACGCCAACACGCCCACCCACCACACAGCGCGTCGCACCGACACGCCCACACGGCGCGTCACACACTAACACACGCCCACCCATAGCGCGTCACCACCAACACGCCCACCCACCAAACAACGCGTCATACCGACACGCCCACACGGCGCGTCACACACCAACACGCCCACGCAGGGCGTCACACCAACACGCCCACACAGCGCGTCACACACTAACACACCCACCCACACAGCGCGTCACACCAACACGCCCACACGGCGCGTCACACACTAACACACGCCCACCCATAGCGCGTCACACCAACACGCCCACCCACCACACAGCGCGTCACACCGACACGCCCACACGGCGCGTCACACACCAACACGCCCACACAGGGCGTCACACCAACACGCCCACACAGCGCGTCACACACTAACACACACCCACCCACACAGCGCGTCACACCAACACGCCCACACAGCGCGTCACACACTAACACGCACACCCACACAGCGCGTCACACCAACACGCCCACACAGCGCGTCACACCAACACGCCCACACAGCGCGTCACACACTAACACGCACACCCACACAGCGCGTCACACCAACACGCCCACACAGCGCGTCACACCAACACGCCCACACAGCGCGTCACACACTAACACACACACCCACCCACTGCATCACCCACTCACTCATTCACTCACTCACAAACACACTCACACACTCACCCACCCACTCATTCACCCACTCACTCACACACTCACTCAACAACTCACTCACTCAGCCACTCACCCACTCACTCACCCACTCACTCACTCAACAACTCACTCACCCACTCAGCCACTCACTCAACAACTCACTCAGCCACTCACTCACTCACTCAGCCACTCACCCACTCACTCACCCACTCACTCACTCACCCACTCACTCACACACCCACTCACTCACTCAGTCACCCACTCACACACTCACTCAATCACCCACTCACTCACACACTCACTCACTCACACACTCACTCAGTCACCCACTCACACACCCACCCACTCACACACTCACTCACACACTCACTCAATCACACACTCACTCACACACTCACTCACTCAGTCACCCACTCACATACTCACCCACTCACTCACCCACTCACTCACATTCTGAGTGGGTGAGTGAGTGGGTGAATCAGTGAGTGGGTGACTGAGTGAGTGTGTGAGTGAGTCGGTAGGTGAGTGGGTGGGTGAGTGGTTGAGTATGTGAGTGAGGGGGTGAGTGGGCGATTATGTGATTATGTGAGTATATGAGTAAGTGGGTGGGTGAGTGGGTGAGTGAGTGGGTGAGTATGTGAGTAGGTGAGTGGGTGGGTGAGTGGGTGAGTGAGTGAGTGGGTGAGTAGGTGGGTGAGTATGAGTCGGTGAGTGAGTGGGTATGTGAGTAGGTAGGTGAGTGGGTGAATGGGTGGGTGAGTGGGTGAGTGGGTGAGTGAGTGGGTGAGTATGTGGCTGGGTGAGTAGGAGAGTGAGTATGTGGGTGAGTATGTGGGTGAGTATGTGGGTGGGTGAGTGAGTGAGTGAGTGGATGAGTGGGTGAGTGATGGGTGGATGAGTGGGTGGGTGAGTGAGTGGGTGAGTCAGTGAGTGGGTGGGTGAGTGGGTGAGTATGTGAGTAGATGAGTGAGTGGGTGAGTATGTGAGTAGGTGAGTGAGTGGGTGGGTGAGTATGTAAGTGGGTGAGTGGGTGAGTGAGTGTGAGTATGTGAGGAGGTGAGTGGGTGGGTGAGTAGGTGGGTGAGTGAGTGGGTGAGTAGGTGAGTAGGTGGGTGAGTGAGTGAGTGAATGGGTGGGTGAGTATGTGGGTGAATGGGTGAGTAGGTGAGTAGGTGGGTGAGTGAATGGGTGGGTGAGTATGTGGGTGAGTGAGTGGGTGAGTGGGTGAGTAGGTGGGTGAGTGAGTGAGCGTATAAGTAGGTGGACACAGAACAATCCAGTGTTGAATCATCTCTCTTTATTTTCAAATCGGTTTTTATTTTCATTTAAACCAGCTGTGTGTGTAGGTGAGTGAGTGAGTTATGTGGGTGTGTGAGTAGGTGAGTGATTGGGTGAGTATGTGAGTGAGTTAGTGGGTGGGTGAGTAGGTGAGTGATTGGGTGAGTATATGAGTGAGTTATGTGGGTGGGTGAGTAGGTGAGTGATTGGGTGAGTATGTGAGTGATTGGGTGAGTATGTGGGTGAGTATGTGGGTGGATGAGTGAGTGGGTGAGTGGGTGAGTAGGTGAGTGAATGGGTGACTGAGTTAGTGGGTGAGTGAGTGAGTCATTGAGTGAGTGAGTGGGTGAGTGAGTATGTGGGTGAGTATGTGGGTGGATGAGTGAGTGGGTGAGTGAGTGAGTCGTTGAGTGAGTGAGTGGGTGAGTGAGTATGTGGGTGAGTATGTGGGTGGATGAGTGAGTGGGTGAGTGAGTGGGTGAGTTGGTAAGATGTTAACAGCCCTCTGTCCCCCTGTACGCACTGCGTACTTATTTGGGTCTCTATGGGTCTCTGTGTGGTGAGTCTATGGGTCTCTGTGTGGTGAGTCTGTGGGTCTCTGTGTGGTGAGTCTGTGGGTCTCTGTGTGGTGAGTCTGTGGGTCTCTGTGTGGTGAGTCTGTGGGTCTCTGTGTGGTGAGTCTATGGGTCTCTGTGTGGTGAGTCTATGGGTCTCTGTGTGGTGAGTCTGTGGGTCTCTGTGTGGTGAGTCTATGGGTCTCTGTGTGGTGAGTCTGTGGGTCTCTGTGTGGTGAGTCTGTGGGTCTCTGTGTGGTGAGGCTATGGGTCTCTGTGTGGTGAGTCTGTGGGTCTCTGTGTGGTGAGTCTGTGGATTTACCATCTCCCCATCTCTCCTCCCCCTCCCTCAACATCCATCCTCCATCTCTCCCCACCCACTACCCCTCACCACCACTACCCACCCACCACTACCACCCACCTACAACCCCCTACCACCACCCACCCATTACTACCACTACCACTCACCACCACCCACCACTACCACCCACCCCACCCACCACTACCACCCACCACCACCAACCTACCCCTCACCACCACCACCACCACTACCACCCACCCACCCCTCACCAACACCCACCACCCACCCACCCCTCACGCCTCCCCACCCACCCACCCACTACCCCCCACCACCACCCACCACCACCCACCCCTCACCACCACCACCCACCCACAACCCCCTACTACCACCCACCCATTACTACCACTACCCCTCACCACTACCCACCACTACCACCCACCACCACCCACCACTACCCACCACTACCCCTCACCACCACCACCACCCCTCACCACCACCACCACCCACCACCAATACCCCTCAGCACCACCACCACCCCTCACCACCACCACCACCCACCACCAATACCCCTCAGCACCACCACCCCCCCCCCACCACCACCACCCACCACCCACCACCACCACCCACCACCCGCTACCACCACCCCCCACCACCACCTCACCACCACCACCACCCACCACCCGCTACCACCACCCCCACCCACCCACAACCCCCTACCACCACCCACCCATTACTACCACTACCCCTCACCACTACCCACCACTACCACCCACCCCACCCACCACTACCACCCCACCCCCCACCACCACTACCCCTCACCACCACCACCCACCACCACTACCACCCACCACCACCCACCACTACCACCCCACCCCCCACCACCACTACCCCTCACCACCACCACCACCACCAATACCCCTCAGCACCACCACCACCCACCACCACCACCCCCCCCCCCACCACCCCCACCACCACCCACCACCACCCCCCACCACCCACCCCCGTCACGCCCCCCCGTGCAGCTGCTATGGCTCTGGGTCCACGACCCGTCCCAGCAGCAGCGGCAGGCCGGCCGACCCCGGCGCGGGGCGGTCTCTGAGCAGGAAGAGGAAGGGCCGCTCCAGGGCCAACTCGCGGAGGCTGCGGCTGGCCGACGCCGCCGTCGCCGCCGCAGCCTCCGCGCCCTCCTCGTCCACGCGCACGAAGGCCGAGTGCGAAACGTCGGACACCCACAGGCGCTCCGCGGAGAGGCCACGGAGGTCGGCGGCGGGGGAGAAGAGGTGGGTCAGGGGCTTGGGGGCTGTGGGGGGGGGTGGGTGGGTGGGGGGGTGGGTGGTGAGAGGGGTGGTGGTGAGTGTAGTGGTGAGTGTGGTGGTGAGTGTGGTGGTGAGTGTAGTGGTGAGTGAGTGTAGTGGTGGTGAGTGTAGTGGTGAGTGTGGTAGTGATGTGACACTCACACACCAACACCTGCCCACCACCACCACCACCTGGCCACCACCACTACCACCACAACCACCACCACTACCACCACAACCACCACCACTACCACCACAACCACCACCACTACCACCACAACCACCACCACCACAACCACCACCACAACCACCACCACTACCACCACCACCACTACCACCACCACCACCACTACCACCACCACCACAACCACCACCACCACAACCACCACCACCACTACCACCACCACCACTACCACCATCACCACCACCACCACCGCCACCACTACCACAACCACCACCACCACTACCACCACCACTACCACCACCACCACTACCACCACAACCACCACCACCACTACCACCACAACCACCACCACCACCGCCACCACCACAACCACCACCACCACTACCACCACCACAACCACCACTACCACTACCACCACCACCACCACTTACCCATGTCCTGCAGGGCCCTCGTGAGGTCCACCTTCTCCCGTAGTGTCACCTTGGGAATGGCCACGGCCATCACAACGTCCTTCATGTTGCTGAGTCCGGCACGGAAGTCGGAGGCGCGGATGTTCGTCTGCATCGCCCTGAAGTCCTCGTCCGAATCCTGGGAGCTCACCGTGACCAGGCTCGAGTTCTTGCAGAAGGGGAACTCGGCAAACTGGAGGTTGGAGGGAGATTGGAGGGAGGTCACACGGTCGAGAAGGGACCTCGGGGGCAGCCCTGTCACACTCACTTTTGTGGGTTCCGTTTTGAGCGCGGAGCGGAAGCCAGAGAGCCCCTCTGAGACCAGGCCCAAAGCCTGCGTCACTCTCACCTTGGTAGGGACGAGAGCCCCTCTGAGACCAGGCCCGAGGCCTGTGTCACTCTCACCTCGGTAGGGACGAGAGCCCCTCTGACACCAGGCCCGAGGCCTGTGTCACTCTCACCTCGGTAGGGACGAGAGCCCCTCTGACACCAGGCCCGAGGCCTGTGTCACTCTCACCTCGGTAGGGACGAGAGCCCCTCTGACACCAGGCCCGAGGCCTGTGTCACTCTCACCTCGGTAGGGACGAGAGCCCCTCTGACACCAGGCCCGAGGCCTGTGTCACTCTCACCTCGGTAGGGACGAGAGCCCCTCTGAGACCAGGCCCAAAGCCTGCGTCACTCTCACCTTGGTAGGGACGAGAGCCCCTCTGAGACCAGGCCCGAGGCCTGTGTCACTCTCACCTTGGTAGGGACGAGAGCCCCTCTGAGACCAGGCCCGAGGCCTGCGTCACTCTCATCTTGGTAGGGACGAGAGCCCCTCTGAGACCAGGCCCGAGGCCTGTGTCACTCTCAGCTCGGTAGGGACGAGAGCCCCTCTGAGACCAGGCCCAAAGCCTGCGTCACTCTCAGCTCGGTAGGGACGAGAGCCCCTCTGAGACCAGGCCCGAGGCCTGCGTCACTCTCACCTCGGTAGGGACGAGAGCCCCTCTGAGACCAGGCCCAAGGCCTGTGTCACTCTCACCTTGGTAGGGACGAGAGCCCCTCTGAGACCAGGCCCGAGGCCTGCGTCACCCTCAGCTCGGTAGGGACGAGAGCCCCTCTGAGACCAGGCCCAAAGCCTGCGTCACTCTCACCTTGGTAGGGACGAGAGCCCCTCTGAGACCAGGCCCGAGGCCTGCGTCACTCTCACCTTGGTAGGGACGAGAGCCCCTCTGAGACCAGGCCCAAAGCCTGCGTCACCCTCAGCTCGGTAGGGACGAGAGCCCCTCTGAGACCAGGCCCGAGGCCTGCGTCACCCTCAGCTCGGTAGGGACGAGAGCCCCTCTGAGACCAGGCCCGAGGCCTGCGTCACTCTCACCTTGGTAGGGACGAGAGCCCCTCTGAGACCAGGCCCGAGCCTGTGTCACCCTCACCTTGGTAGGGACGAGAGCCCCTCTGAGACCAGGCCCGAGCCTGTGTCACCCTCACCTTGGTAGGGACGAGAGCCCCTCTGAGACCAGGCCCAAAGCCTGTGTCACCCTCAGCTCGGTAGGGACGAGAGCCCCTCTGAGACCAGGCCCGAGGCCTGCGTCACTCTCAGCTCGGTAGGGACGAGAGCCCCTCTGAGACCAGGCCAAAAGCCTGTGTCACCCTCAGCTCGGTAGGGACGAGAGCCCCTCTGAGACCTGGCCCGAGGCCTGCGTCACTCTCAGCTCGGTAGGGACGAGAGCCCCTCTGAGACCAGGCCCGAGGCCTGTGTCACTCTCACCTCGGTAGGGACGAGAGCCCCTCTGAGACCAGGCCCGAGGCCTGTGTCACTCTCACCTTGGTAGGGACGAGAGCCCCTCTGAGACCAGGCCCGAGGCCTGCGTCACTCTCAGCTCGGTAGGGACGAGAGCCCCTCTGAGACCAGGCCCAAAGCCTGCGTCACTCTCAGCTCGGTAGGGACGAGAGCCCCTCTGAGATCAGGCCCAAAGCCTGTGTCACCCTCAGCTCGGTAGGGACGAGAGCCCCTCTGAGACCAGGCCCAAAGCCTGTGTCACCCTCAGCTCGGTAGGGACGAGAGCCCCTCTGAGACCAGGCCCGAGGCCTGCGTCACTCTCAGCTCGGTAGGGACGAGAGCCCCTCTGAGACCAGGCCCGAGGCCTGCGTCACTCTCACCTCGGTAGGGACGAGAGCCCCTCTGAGACCAGGCCCGAGCCTGTGTCACCCTCACCTTGGTAGGGACGAGAGCCCCTCTGAGACCAGGCCCGAGCCTGTGTCACCCTCACCTTGGTAGGGACGAGAGCCCCTCTGAGACCAGGCCCAAAGCCTGTGTCACCCTCAGCTCGGTAGGGACGAGAGCCCCTCTGAGACCAGGCCCGAGGCCTGCGTCACTCTCAGCTCGGTAGGGACGAGAGCCCCTCTGAGACCAGGCCAAAAGCCTGTGTCACCCTCAGCTCGGTAGGGACGAGAGCCCCTCTGAGACCAGGCCCGAGGCCTGCGTCACTCTCAGCTCGGTAGGGACGAGAGCCCCTCTGAGACCAGGCCCGAGGCCTGTGTCACTCTCACCTCGGTAGGGACGAGAGCCCCTCTGAGACCAGGCCCGAGGCCTGTGTCACTCTCACCTTGGTAGGGACGAGAGCCCCTCTGAGACCAGGCCCGAGGCCTGCGTCACTCTCAGCTCGGTAGGGACGAGAGCCCCTCTGAGACCAGGCCCAAAGCCTGCGTCACTCTCAGCTCGGTAGGGACGAGAGCCCCTCTGAGACCAGGCCCAAAGCCTGCGTCACCCTCAGCTCGGTAGGGACGAGAGCCCCTCTGAGACCAGGCCCAAAGCCTGTGTCACCCTCAGCTCGGTAGGGACGAGAGCCCCTCTGAGACCAGGCCCGAGGCCTGCGTCACTCTCAGCTCGGTAGGGACGAGAGCCCCTCTGAGACCAGGCCCGAGGCCTGCGTCACTCTCACCTCGGTAGGGACGAGAGCCCCTCTGAGACCAGGCCCGAGGCCTGTGTCACTCTCAGCTCGGTAGGGACGAGAGCCCCTCTGAGACCAGGCCCGAGGCCTGCGTCACTCTCACCTTGGTAGGGACGAGAGCCCCTCTGAGACCAGGCCCGAGGCCTGTGTCACTCTCACCTTGGTAGGGACGAGAGCCCCTCTGAGACCAGGCCCAAAGCCTGCGTCACTCTCACCTTGGTAGGGACGAGAGCCCCTCTGAGACCAGGCCCGAGGCCTGCGTCACCCTCAGCTCGGTAGGGACGAGAGCCCCTCTGAGACCAGGCCCAAAGCCTGCGTCACTCTCAGCTCGGTAGGGACGAGAGCCCCTCTGAGACCAGGCCCGAGGCCTGCGTCACTCTCACCTTGGTAGGGACGAGAGCCCCTCTGAGACCAGGCCTGAGGCCTGTGTCACTCTCAGCTCGGTAGGGACGAGAGCCCCTCTGAGACCAGGCCCAAAGCCTGCGTCACTCTCAGCTCGGTAGGGACGAGAGCCCCTCTGAGACCAGGCCCAAAGCCTGTGTCACTCTCACCTCAGTAGGGACGAGAGCCCCTCTGAGACCAGGCCCGAGGCCTGCGTCACTCTCACCTTGGTAGGGACGAGAGCCCCTCTGAGACCAGGCCTGAGGCCTGTGTCACTCTCACCTTGGTAGGGACGAGAGCCCCTCTGAGACCAGGCCCGAGGCCTGCGTCACTCTCACCTCGGTAGGGACGAGAGCCCCTCTGAGACCAGGCCCGAGGCCTGCGTCACTCTCACCTCGGTAGGGACGAGAGCCCCTCTGAGACCAGGCCCGAGGCCTGCGTCACTCTCAGCTCGGTAGGGACGAGAGCCCCTCTGAGACCAGGCCCAAAGCCTGCGTCACTCTCAGCTCGGTAGGGACGAGAGCCCCTCTGAGACCAGGCCCGAGGCCTGCGTCACTCTCAGCTTGGTAGGGACGAGAGCCCCTCTGAGACCAGGCCCGAGGCCTGTGTCACTCTCACCTCGGTAGGGACGAGAGCCCCTCTGAGACCAGGCCCAAAGCCTGTGTCACCCTCAGCTCGGTAGGGACGAGAGCCCCTCTGAGACCAGGCCCGAGGCCTGCGTCACCCTCAGCTCGGTAGGGACGAGAGCCCCTCTGAGACCAGGCCCGAGGCCTGCGTCACTCTCACCTTGGTAGGGACGAGAGCCCCTCTGAGACCAGGCCCGAGGCCTGCGTCACTCTCACCTTGGTAGGGACGAGAGCCCCTCTGAGACCAGGCCCGAAGTCTGTGTCACTCTCACCTTGGTAGGGACGAGAGCCCCTCTGAGACCAGGCCCAAAGCCTGTGTCACCCTCAGCTCGGTAGGGACGAGAGCCCCTCTGAGACCAGGCCCGAGCCTGTGTCACTCTCACCTCGGTAGGGACGAGAGCCCCTCTGAGACCAGGCCCGAAGTCTGTGTCACTCTCACCTTGGTAGGGACGAGAGCCCCTCTGAGACCAGGCCCAAAGCCTGCGTCACTCTCACCTCGGTAGGGACGAGAGCCCCTCTGAGACCAGGCCCGAGGCCTGCGTCACTCTCACCTTGGTAGGGACGAGAGCCCCTCTGAGACCAGGCCCGAGGCCTGCGTCACTCTCACCTTGGTAGGGACGAGAGCCCCTCTGAGACCAGGCCCGAAGTCTGTGTCACTCTCACCTTGGTAGGGACGAGAGCCCCTCTGAGACCAGGCCCAAAGCCTGTGTCACCCTCAGCTCGGTAGGGACGAGAGCCCCTCTGAGACCAGGCCCGAGCCTGTGTCACTCTCACCTCGGTAGGGACGAGAGCCCCTCTGAGACCAGGCCCGAGGCCTGCGTCACTCTCACCTCGGTAGGGACGAGAGCCCCTCTGAGACCAGGCCCGAGGCCTGCGTCACTCTCACCTTGGTAGGGACGAGAGCCCCTCTGAGACCAGGCCTGAGGCCTGTGTCACCCTCAGCTTGGTAGGGACGAGAGCCCCTCTGAGACCAGGCCCGAGGCCTGTGTCACTCTCACCTCGGTAGGGACGAGAGCCCCTCTGAGACCAGGCCCAAAGCCTGCGTCACCCTCAGCTCGGTAGGGACGAGAGCCCCTCTGAGACCAGGCCCGAGGCCTGTGTCACGCTCACCTGGTAGGGACGACAGCCCCTCTGAGACCAGGCCCGAGGCCTGTGTCACTCTCACCTCGGTAGGGACTAGAGCCCCTCTGAGACCAGGCCAAAGTGTGCGTCACTCTCACCTTGGTAGGGACGAGAGCCCCTCTGAGACCAGGCCCGAAGTCTGCGTCACTCTCACCTGGTAGGGAAACAGGTCCTTGATGCGGAAGGGATAGGACGGCGCGTGGACCATGTCCACCATCTTCGTCTGGCCCATCGGGAGCACGAACTGCCTCTTCACCGTGTAGTCAACGTTGAACTTCGTCTTCCACTCGCCTGCAACGTGCAGCGGGGCACAGCGGGGCAGTTCGCTCTCATCTGTGGGTGTTGGTGTCTCTGTGGGTCTGTACGCTTGTTGGGGGAGCGGTGGGTGTAGTGGTTAGCGCCACGCCGCGCTACGAATCCCGGCGACCCGGGTTCGATTCCCGCTCACGGCCAACGGCACCGGTGACGGTTGTCTGAACCGGTCCCGGGCCTCCCCTAGGTCGACTCAGCCTCAAATGAGTACCCTGGTGTAGCGGTGTGTTAACATTGCCACTGGGGAGACAAAGGCGGCCGGGGGTGGTGCTGGCCACCCACCCCCTCGTGTGCCGTTAGCGGCCTTCATAGGTGCTCGCTAACAGCACTTGCCCCTACAGTCTGTTAAGGCTATGCGGGGGATCTTTGTCTTTGTATCTCTATGGGTATCTCTATGGGTCTCTGTGGGTGTCTCTATGGGTATCTCTATGGGTCTCTGTGGGTGTCTATATGGGTCTGTCTGTGTGTGTGTGGGTGTCTCTATGGGTCTCTGTGGGTGTCTATGGGTGTCTCTATGGGTATCTCTATAGGTGTCTATGGATGTCTCTATGGGTGTCTCTATGGGTCTCTGTGGGTGTCTATGGGTGTCTCTATGGGTGTCTCTGTGGGTGTCTCTATGGGTATCTCTATGGGTGTCTATGGGTGTCTCTATGGGTGTCTCTATGGGTCTCTCTGTGGGTGTCTCTGTGGGTCTGGCTGTCTGTGTGTGTCTGGCTGTGTGTGTATCTCTTTGGGTGTCTCTGTGGGTGTCTCTATGGGTCTCTCTATGGGTGTCTCTATGGGGTCTATGAGTGTCTCTATGGGTCTCTATGGGTCTATGAGTGTCTCTATGAGTCTATGGGTGTCTCTATGGGTCTCTATGGAGTCTATGGGTGTCTCTATGGGTGTCTCTATGGTTGTCTATGGGTGTCTCTATGGATCTGTCTGTGTGTGTGTGTGTGGGTGTCTCTATGGGTGTCTCTATGGGTCTATGAGTGTCTCTATGGCTCTCTATGGGTCTATGGGTGTCTCTAAGGGTGACTATGGGTGTCTCTATGGGTGTCTCTATGGGTGTCTCTGTGGGTGTCTCTATGGGGTCTATGAGTGTCTCTATGGGTCTCTATGGGTCTATGAGTGTCTCTATGGGGTCTATGGGTGTCTCTAAGGGTGACTATGGGTGTCTCTATGGGTGTCTCTATGGGTCTGTCTGTGTGTGTGTGGGTGTCTCTATGGGTGTCTCTATGGGTGTCTCTATTGGTGTCTATGGGTGTCTCTATGGGTCTGTGTGTGTGTGTGTGTGGGTGTCTCTATGGGTGTCTCTGTGGGTGTCTCTATGGGTGTCTCTGTGGGTGTCTATGGGTGTCTGTATGGGTGTCTCTATGGGTCTCTGTGGGTGTCTATGGGTGTCTCTATGGGTGTCTCTATGGGTATCTCTATGGGTGTCTATGGGTGTCTCTATGGGTGTCTCAATGGGTCTCTGTGGGTGTCTATGGGTGTCTCTATGGGTGTCTCTGTGGGTGTCTCTATGGGTATCTCTATGGGTGTCTATGGGTGTCTCTATGGGTGTCTCTATGGGTCTCTCTGTGGGTGTCTCTGTGGGTCTGGCTGTCTGTGTGTGTCTGTCTGTGTGTGTAACTCTATGGGTGTCTCTGTGGGTGTCTCTATGGGGTCTATGAGTGTCTCTATGGGTCTCTATGGGTCTATGAGTGTCTCTATGAGTCTATGGGTGTCTCTATGGGTCTCTATGGTTGTCTATGGGTGTCTCTATGGATCTGTCTGTGTGTGTGTGTGTGTGGGTGTCTCTATGGGTGTCTCTATGGGTCTATGAGTGTCTCTATGGCTCTCTATGGGTCTATGGGTGTCTCTAAGGGTGACTATGGGTGTCTCTATGGGTGTCTCTATGGGTGTCTCTGTGGCTGTCTCTGTGGGTGTCTCTATGGGTGTCTCTGTGGGTCTCTATGGGTGTCTCTATGGGTGTCTCTATGGGTGTCTCTATGGTTGTCTCTATGGGTGTCTATGGGTGTCTCTATGGGTCTGTCTGTGTGTGTGTGTGTGGGTGTCTCTATGGGTGTCTCTATGGGTGTCTCTATCGGTGTCTCTATGGGTGTCTCTATGGATGTCTCTGTGGGTGTCTCTATGGGTGTCTCTGTGGGTGTCTCTGTGGGTGTCTCTATGGGTGTCTCTGTGGGTCTCTATGGGTGTCTCTATGGGTGTCTCTATGGGTGTCTATGGGTGTCTCTATGGGTCTGTCTGTGTGTGTGTGTGTGGGTGTCTCTGTGGGTGTCTCTATGGGTGTCTCTATCGGTGTCTCTATGGGTGTCTCTATGGATGTCTCTGTGGGTGTCTCTATGGGTGTCTCTGTGGGTGTCTCTGTGGGTGTCTCTATGGGTGTCTCTGTGGGTCTCTATGGGTGTCTCTATGGGTGTCTCTATGGGTGTCTCTATGGGTGTCTATGGGTGTCTCTATGGGTCTGTCTGTGTGTGTGTGGGTGTCTCTATGGGTGTCTCTGTGGGTGTCTCTATGGGTGTCTCTATCGGTGTCTCTATGGGTGTCTCTGTGGGTGTCTCTGTGGGTGTCTCTATGGGTGTCTCTATGGGTGTCTCTGTGGGTGTCTCTATGGGTGTCTCTATCGGTGTCTCTATGGATGTCTCTGTGGGTGTCTCTATGGGTGTCTCTGTGGGTTTCTCTGTGGGTGTCTCTATGGGTGTCTCTATGGGTGTCTCTATGGGTGTCTCTATGGGTGTCTCTATGGGTGTCTCTGTGGGTCTCTATGGGTGTCTCTATGGGTGTCTCTGTGGGTGTCTCTGTGGGTGTCTCTATGGGTGTCTCTATGGGTGTCTCTATGGGTGTCTCTGTGGGTGTCTCTATGGGTGTCTCTGTGGGTGTCTCTATGGGTCTGTCTGTGTGTGTGTGTGTGGGTGTCTCTGTGGGTGTCTCTATGGGTGTCTCTATGGATGTCTCTGTGGGTGTCTCTATGGGTGTCTCTGTGGGTGTCTCTGTGGGTGTCTCTATGGGTGTCTCTGTGGGTCTCTATGGGTGTCTCTATGGGTGTCTCTATGGGTGTCTCTATGGGTGTCTATGGGTGTCTCTATGGGTCTGTCTGTGTGTGTGTGTGGGTGTCTCTATGGGTGTCTCTGTGGGTGTCTCTATGGGTGTCTCTATCGGTGTCCCTATGGGTGTCTCTGTGGGTGTCTCTGTGGGTGTCTCCATGGGTGTCTCTATGGGTGTCTCTGTGGGTCTCTATGGGTGTCTCTATGGGTGTCTCTTTCGGTGTCTCTATGGATGTCTCTGTGGGTGTCTCTATGGATGTCTCTGTGGGTGTCTCTATGGGTGTCTCTTTGGGTGTCTCTGTGGGTGTCTCTATGGGTGTCTCTGTGGGTGTCTCTATGGGTCTGTCTGTGTGTGTGTGGGTGTCTCTGTGGGTGTCTCTATGGGTGTCTCTATGGGTGTCTCTGTGGGTGTCTCTGTGGGTATCTCTATGGGTGTCTCTGTGGGTGTCTCTGTGGGTGTCTCTATGGGTGTCTCTGTGGGTCTCTATGGGTGTCTCTATGGATGTCTCTATGGGTGTCTCTGTGGGTGTCTCTGTGGGTGTCTCTATGGGTCTGTCTGTGTGTGTGTGTGGGTGTCTCTATGGGTGTCTCTATGGGTGTCTCTGTGGATGTCTCTGTGGGTGTCTCTGTGGGTGTCTCTGTGGGTGTCTCTGTGGGTGTCTCTATGGGTCTGTCTGTGTGTGTGTGACAACAACAACAACAACACTACAGACAACAACAACTCTACAGACTACAACAACAACTCTACAGACTACAACAACAACTCTACAGACAACAACAACTCTACAGACTACAACAACAACTCTACAGACAACAACAACAACTTTACAGACAACAACAACAACTCTACAGACAACAACAACAACAACTCTACAGACAACAACAACAACTCTACAGACAACAACAACTCTACAGACAACAACAACTCTACAGACGACAACAACTCTACAGACAACAACAACTCTACAGACTACAACAACTCTACAGACAACAACAACAACTCTACAGACAACAACAACAACAACTCTACAGACAACAACAACAACTCTACAGACTACAACAACAACTCTACAGACAACAACAACAACTCTACAGACAACAACAACAACTCTACAGACTACAACAACAACTCTACAGACAACAACAACAACTCTACAGACAACAACAACAACTCTACAGAAAACAACAACTCTACAGACAACAACAACAACTCTACAGACTACATCAACAACTCTACAAACAACAACAACTCTACAGTCTACAACAACAACTCTACAGACTACAACAACAACTCTACAGACAGCAACAATTCTACAGACAACAACAACAACAACTCTACAGACAACAACAACAACTCTACAGACAACAACAACTCTACAGACAACAACAACAACTCTACAGACAACAACAACAACAACTCTACAGACAACAACAACTCTACAGACAACAACAACAACAACTCTACAGACTACAACAACTCTACAGACAACAACAACAACTCTACAGACTACAACAACTCTACAGACAACACCAAAACTCTACAGACAACAACAACAACAACTCTACAGACAACAACAACTCTACAGACTACAACAACAACAACTCTACAGACAACAACAACAACAACTCTACAGACAACAACAACAACTCTACAGACTACAACAACTCTACAGACAACAACAACAACTCTACAGACAACAACAACTGTACAGACAACAACAACAACAACTCTACAGACAACAACAACAACAACTCTACAGACAACAACAACAACCCTAACGACTACAACAACAACTCTACAGACAACAACAGCTCTACAAACAACAACAACTCTACAGACAACAACAACAACTCTACAGACAACAACAACAACAACAACAACAACAACTCTACAGACAACAACAACAACCCTACAGACTACAACAACAACTCTACAGACAACAACAGCTC